CAAGTATCGTTGTTTTGTATAATCGTATTGATAAGCTGAAACATTTATTTGTTTTTTACAAACGTGTTCTTTCGCAGTTTTCCCAATTTTTACTACCCGACGGTTATAATCTTTTAGGACATTTCCAGAACGAATAAAAATCACGGCTCGTGTAGTTTTATTGTGCAAAGAAACTGATAATATAAACAACAATATAATATTGTACCATAACCACACAGTAAACAGTTTGTTTTAAATGAATAACAATAGGTAGGTGCTACACATAGTATTTTTTTTTCTCAAATATTATTGCGTGTATAGTACGTATATTATTGTAAAAAATTAAATTTCTGAAGAATAAATTGTTCGCCATTATATTCATAATTAAAAAAATAATTTTGAATTTTAAACCGACAATAATTAACGATATAATATCGGACCATTAACCGTTAAAATATTTCGGAATATATAATATTGTATGTATATATATTTTTTTTTCAAACCGAAATTTATGTATAAAATCGTTAAACAGAGTACTGCGTATTACAATAGTTTAAGGTCATAGTAAACATTCCGAAATTGTAAGTCCTACGATAAAAAAAATTACTCTGTATGACTGTACGCGTAAGTCATTTGTATAAGCTTGTCACCACGAGGTCTTGTCGCACCCTCGTAACTATCCTATTTTTTTTTTCTTTTCGTTTTGTTATTTATACATATTTTTTTTTTTTTTTTTTAAACATATGCTAGTCAATTATAATTTAAATACGTGTATACTGTATATTGTCTACCAATGTGCACCTATTATATTTTTTATATTATAAAGCCTATACCGTAATATTTATATATTTATTTTCAAAATACCTAATGTTTTTTTTCGATCATTAAAATTTTATTTTAACGTGTACCTGAATGTTTGTATACTTATTTTTGCCTTTAAACGAATTACTGGGTTTAATACTTTCGCATTTTATTGTTGCAGTGTTACACTTTAACTATATTGTATCCGTATTTATCGTGGGTGCAAATAGCTCAAATATTTGATGAAGGCTCATAAGCCCCCATAATATTGACTAAATGTATTTAGTGTTTACTCGGTACGGGATTTATTTGTGGGGCTAAGACCCTCTAGCCCCCCCCCCTATTTGCGCCCATGGTAGCTATTTATAATATTATGATATGATTATTTTATGAATAATCGACTACGGGTAAATAATTGTTAATATCACTCGTATATATTATATTAATGTTAGTTAATATACAATTATATTAACACACTGTACTTGCATACGTATTTGTAAATAAAAGTGAAACTGAAAAATACTGAAACACTCTTGTTTTATTGTTAACCGCATTACAAAGGTAAAACCGGGTAAAGTCATGTGTGCAATGGGTAAAATGTATACATAATATTGTATAATACCTATAATAAGCAACTCAACCATAAAGTAATTCATGAACTGCGTTCGCATGAAGATAACATTGTACTATTAATCACGAAAAATACCACTAAACACACAAAATGTGTAAGTAAAAAAAAAACAGGCAAAAAATTGATTTGTAAAAGCTCAGCCGTTGGTAGGTACGACCAAAACTACATGGCCAGACATAAACTGTCTACCATCTACATAAATGTCAACTACCATACCATAGTTGTCTGGAAAATCACCTGCAAACCGAAGCATGCTAACTCAACCAATTAGGTAGGTACAAACAATGTTGTTATAAACTTGTTAGGTTAAATTATGGGAGCACAGCCCGCCCATCCCCGCATAATGTTATTGCATTGTATTTTTACTCGATAAAACGATAAGAATTGTAGTGCATATAAAATTTTACACGGACTCCATTACCCTTGTGGTAAAAATGGTTAGATATAATATCGAGTAATGGAATTGATATGTTATATCTGCTTCACAGATGTTGACTTTGTTGACGGAAATCGTCTCTGAGTGAAGTTTGGTTAAAATGTGTTTTGTTTTTAACTGTTGTCATTTTTTACGATTTTCGTTAAAATTTAGGCTTAACATACGTGTAAAAATACTACACACCGTTAAACCGAAAAATGTATCTATCACGTCTATAAAGTGCTAATATAATATATGTAATTGGAGAAAATCCCTGTCCCTACGATTATTTCTAACGGAATTACAACGAAAAATCAAAATCGAAAAATTCCCCGTGACTGTTTGGAGTAACAATATTTTAGCACCAGACGTAATTTAACATGGTCTACAGGGGACACGGAAATGTCGATATTCATAGGAGTCCGATAAGACTTGAACACCACGGACCCCTCTTCCCGATTATTATATACAATTCGCATTTACTATGTTTGGTACCAAAACCCATCTATTAAGAAACCTCGGGTACGCTGCTGAACAGGTAACTATGCTTATTTATTTATTCGTACGTCAATATATCGGTAAAGGCACATTTAGGTATAATTATAAAAGTTATTATTAACAATGTTTTAACACACAATGTGTACGGGCGGTAAACAAGGCCAAAACTACGCACACGATTAAACGGCGGCCGGGAAAATCAAGACGTATCGATACGGGTCGTCGATCGGTTGCACGCGGTTCTAACCGTTCTGGGAAAACAGACAAATCTTGAAAATGTCCCGAAAGTGCACTTAAAAATAGGCCGAGCATACTTCGCACCATGGCTATAGACTGTAGAGTATAGGCCGCTGTTATAGATGGACAGTTTGAAAGGTATATAGGGTAATAAAACGATTGTACAATAATATTATTTGGATATTAACTAAAAACAACAATAAATCGGTGCAATCAAAAAAAAAAAAAAAAATTCCGTGTAGAGTAGTATTGGTAGTATAAAGTAATGTTTTTCCCCTTCCATTCAAGGAAACCTTGCAGAAATCGACAAAAACAAAACCTATGCATTTGGAATTTTTTTTTTTTTTTCTAACTGTAACTGTACGCGAAAAATATTCTTCCTACTCGTTACGAAATAGTCCAAACATCAACACGTCTGGGACTCTGAATGTGCATGACTTTCTCGTATAGTGATTATAAATATACACGTTTCTTCTCAATAGGTATTTAGTTTTAGTGCGTGCTATATATATACATTTTTGGGATTCTGCCATTCGATAATATTTTGATCTTCAGACACTAAACATATGCTACTTAACTTGCACTTATTTGAATAAACGTCAAACGCGCGTGTGCGTCACAATCTATCGTTTAATAATTAGTAATTATCTATAACAAAAAAATGACCAAACTACCTATTTAACATCCGTCACTATAACGCTAATATAGTTTTACATACTAAAAAAATTAATTATATACTTATATATCACTCAAATAGTTGCGAACAAACTTACCCTATAGTAGTGTAGTGCCCGAGTATCTTATGTACGATTGGAGCAAGAGTTCTGGTAAAAAAGTTGTTAACAGGCATAAAATAAAAGAGCTGGTATTAGGGACGAATGTGTTACAAAGTAAAATCAATACGTTCCTCGCGATTTTCAAAATCTAAATATCGCACAACACATCGCAGAATGGCCAAAACGTTCCTCGTTTTGTTCAGAATCTAAAACAAGAGAATATGCATAATCAATACATTCGGATTTATAAAAAGTAAAAATTATATTGAACAAATACTGAAAAGTTATCAAACTCGATTGAGTGATTGCATCAGTTACGTCAGAACTATACATTTCTTCAATTCTAAATAATTAGGTAATTAAAGACTGAACTGAAGTCAATATCTAAACGTACACATAAATTACATTCGTTATCTTCGTCGAAGCCAGGTGTTGTGAGGCACTGCAAAAAGTACTGTTGAGAGGCCTGCATAGATGCATATACATCCACCCGATAGGGGGGGGGAACTTTTCAAAAATTGATGCCTACATTAAAAGTTGAAAATATTGCTACAAAGGCGGTAGGTAGACAATAAATATGCAGAAATGAACGATGTGCAGTCAACTAAAAAAAAAAAAATTGTTAGTAACGTTCGGCGCGGTTAACCATGGGAGGTGGTTGACTTTGATGTCCGATAAAAAACAGAAGAAAACAAGCTGGACACAATTTTGTATCACTAGATAACTGGAGAAGTATGCATTAGGTTATCATAATCGGATTTTTTTACCGGGAAATGTATATTAGTACATCATGTCCTCATTGATTATCATTTCATCAGATGATTACTTTCAATAATAGACATTTTGGTCTCTAACTGATCAATTTAATCTAGAAATGATTTGTTTTCAGCTATAGTTTCAGCTGCTAATTGAATAGACAAATTATTAAGTTTAATATCAATTGACTCATACTTCATATTATGAACTCTAATCAATTTCTGCAAAGAATAGCTGTTTTTAAAACCTCTAACACAACCAAGGGCTATACATCTTTTTTTCTGGGTACTTAAAACTACAATACTGTTACGAGTCCGTAACAATACAATATAATTTAATTATTAATTCAACAGTTCAATGTACTTATATAATAAAAAAATTGATTGAAATAATTTGAACACAAATAATAAAATTTAAAAAGGACATTACTTCTACTTACTTCAACTATGATGTTTTTTTTTTCTTTTTGTAAACAACCTTTTGAAAATAAATTTTGCTACGATGTATAAAGTGTAGCATCTCTTCTCAAAGGAATATTTCTGCTGTAACCATTTAAGAGCAAAAATGGCAAACTAAAAAAAATCCAGGTGCGACTGCAGAGTGAAGACTTAGACAGTACATCACATAATTAGGAAATGCGAACTTAAAAATTTTAATGGAACCTTTACAGAGCTACACGCAAAATCTGATGAAGCCCTAGAATGTTTAAATAAATTGAACGTAAAAATCTTATAATAATTATAAGAGGACTTAGTTACTAGATGACATAATGTTACCTATAACTTATAGACTATATACACAGTTCTATCCTTTAAATGATATAATATTGTATTTATATTTTTTATGGTCGTAAGAGAAGAAAAAATACCAGGTATCAAACGCATATATAGTATTTTATTTGTAATCTGCTTAATTTTACTTTTTTAATCACATATATCTAATTAGGAATTTATTAACTAAGGGCACGTACTCATGTTAGGTAGTTAAAATTTGTATATTATACACCTATTTTAGAAATATACTTACAAATATATATCATCTAACTTTTTTTTGTAAACCAAAGTATACAATAAGAAAAAATTTTAAACTGTTGTATAACTCATACTTTGTGTTATATTTGGCATCTGATCTGCACTAATAAGTCTGAAGTTTGTCATACATGCAGTAATACATGGTAATAGGTTTAAAATTGATTTTAAATGAAAGCAGCGATAGTTATTAAACTAGATTAATACTAAAATTACTTTTATATTTATAAGATATAAATAATATAAACACTAGCTATTTATACTTAAATAAAGAGCATCATTTTGTGTTTTTTTTAATTTTAATTTCTTATCTGGTTTAATAGATTGACTATTGTATTACTCAGTAAATATTATTTTATTTGTGTAATATTTAAAGTATTTTAATTTTATATAATATATACATTCAAATGTATAAAAGTAATGAGAAGACATGTATAAAATAAAAACAAATAATATAAATTCCTGTATTTTTTAAAACAGAAATCTATTAACAAATTCACAATAATAAGTGTCTAATAACAATATAATAACAAAATATATGTACATAATAGGAATGAAAATAATTAATTTTTTAAAATCTTTAAACAGGTAATGAATTTGACACTTTACTTTTGACCATAGATGAACATAAACGCCCAAAGAATGATAAACCTTTTTGACCAAATGGTATGGAGTTTAATAAAAACCAAAAAATGAGTACTAGATGAATGGTCAGCAATAATAAAGTGTACGGAGTACTCTTCATCCACAATGAAAAATACAATGTACCTAAAAGAGTTATTATGTAGCCAAACATGAAAGGCAGCTTTTCTTTAGATGTCACATACTTGTAGTGATTCAACGGACCTGTCAAAAATGATACACTAAAATAAAAAATAAAATGTATTAATATAACGTTTATTGTTAATTTTATTAATTATAAATTAATGCAATTTTAGTTTTTAATGTCAAAAAAGAATACCTATAGGATTTTAACATTTAATTTTTATAACTAACCTTCAATTTTTTTTTTAGATAAATCATTGATTACTTCTTTTTAAATAATTTAAATTTTAAAGTTTTATTATAAGGTTTAAAAATGTATAATAATATAATATCTTTTAAAGTTCCAAATTAAACTCAATATTATTAATAAATCATATAATTAATTGTTTTTGAAACTTCAGATGTCTCTATGAATCAAACTAAACACAACAAAATTATGATCACAGTAATATTGTATAAATTTAATACTAGTTTAAAATACTGCTATTTCTTAAAAATGTTTTTGATAAATGTGGACCGATGAAAAATGGTAACAGACAATACTGACAGTGTATTATATTACAACTAAAGGAACAAACGCAGGTTAACTCAATTAAATTGATAAGACATTTTTATAACGATGACTAAAATATTAAATTTACCTGGCAAAAGCAAATATGCTTCCAGAAGCGTACAAAATGGCAAACTTCCTAGCTTTAAGTAGAAGTACAGGCAAATACAAAGCTGATAATGAGAACATTAAGCAACTAATTGCTACACAAACCATAAAACCCATCACTCTTTGAGTTTTACTCTGCAAAATTAAATAACACAAGAAAATGTAAATATTGGCTACCTGATACCTACCTAAATTTAAACTATTCAAAAAAAAAAACATAAATTTTACCAATGTTGGGAAATTAAAATATTTATTCTGTGTAGGGTCCAGTAAATTTTCCGTTTGTTCTCCAGATTCATTGCTCAGGAATTTTTTAAAAACTTTAGGAATATGAACGTGTCCATTGTTGGGTTTATTTTTTTGACCTTTACTAAGGTATTCATCGAGTTCTAGTTTCAAATTGGCCATTATTATCTTATATTTAATGAGTACATATTTAAACGATAAAACAAATATCAAGTTAACATATAAAACTTGTCATTAATAAGTTAACTTTAACACATAAACGTTATTACCAATTTTACGTACAATTTACAAGGCTACAAAATAACATTATTACAAAGTAAAAAAACATATTAAGATAACATTATTTGCGTACAAAATTAATAAATTAAATTATTAAATTAATGATATAGATATTTGGATAATTGATAATTTTATTTTGGAGCAGAAATTTTTATCAGCCTATATTATCGTACTCGTGGTTATGCAACGATATGTGATAAGAACATAGATAATAAAGAAACATTATTGTTTATAGATTAAGACGTCTTCACTTCTCTTTAGTTTCTTTGCAGATTATAATAACTGGTTTCTTTTTAAAATCTCGTGTCTTGTTAGTGCCACCAAATATCTAACATCTAATTCAGTCTACAAAGCCACAAATGTTAATTGAAGCTCCATCGCTAGTAACACCAGCATTTTCAAGCAATAGTCTTGAAAATAATTTTTACAAACTCTATATTTAAAAAAAATCATAAATATTTAATACTTTATTAAATTAATTAGATAAAATGTATATTGACTTTTGACTGGTCCTCTTGAAACAAACACAGCAATGGGTTGATGAATACTGTCAGCCAATCTTTAGATCATGATCACTCCTAATGTACAATTTGCTTTTTTTTCAAACCTGTCATTAAAATCTTCTAAGTTATGATATGTCAAGGTTCTAGTGTTGACACTCAAGGTTTCCCTTTAAAAAATTAAGAAGTAATTTTTCTAAAAAAAAACAATCATTATAAAACCACAGCCTATCGTTACTGTTAATAAATAGGCACGCAAAGTATTTCTACACGGTAGAGGTAAAATATTTTTATTTCTTAAATAATTATAAATAAACACTAAGGGACCTGTATGATGAAACAAATAATCTATAGTTTAGTAAACTTATAAATTATACAAATATTTTAAATCTAATTTGAAATAGCATATTATATAACAGCATCCAATTTTCTCTAAAATTTTCGGATTTTTTTACTTTAGCTGCTTGAAATATTTCTTTCGCCAATTCAATTTAACATACTGGCTAACTTTAATTGTTTAACATTCCATACAATTTTTCTTGGGCAATCTCATTAATTTTACTTTGTATGTGGTTAAGCTGATTTTGTAGCTTTTTTATATGAATGTTTGCTCTAGAAATTATCTTTTTAAATTTACCTTTAGTTCTAAAATCAATACAAGTATTTAAACAAACATAAGAAACAAAATAAAAATAGATGTTTATTTTTTTATACTTTGAAGTATTTTTTGTTTAGTAGAAAAATATACTCTAATTAGCATTTTTTTTAAAATAATTTATGTTGTGTACACCACAGACATCTATTACTAAAATAAAAAAATATTCACTAAACATAATATTGTAAATAAACATATTTTGATTAGTTCTTTAAAATTTTACTTGTTCTTATCTTTTACAAATGTCAAATAGTCTATGTGTCGCCATTAGCCACTAAATTCAAGAAATTGAATACCAAATGACTGTTTAATTTTTTTATTATCATTAAAAGAAATAGCTTCAATGCAAATTTGTACAGCATTCAACTTTACCAATAAATTTTGTATACTTTCAATAATACTTACTTCCACAAACTTCATTTCAATATCCAAAGGGTCTCACACTTATATGTATTATCATTTTGTAATCTAAAATAAGTTTCAATTCCAAAAACATTGCAAAATATTATAAAAGTACATTATATTTTAAATTCTATTATTAAAAGGAAGTCGTTAAGACTTTTATACGAGTACCTTTCATTATAACTAATTGCTTTTCGGTTAATCTTTTGTAATGTGCCCGAAAATTGGTTAATTTATAGAAAGCAATTAAGGTACAATCAAATGTAACTAACAAACCATTAATTTGGTACACTTATTTATTTTGTTTTCTAAAACAATTTCATGTAGATATCACTATTTCAATCCGTTCACAAACAAATTATAAAAGCAAATTCTTTGAAAAATTATCAATTATCAATATAAATCTTTCTTTGTTTACAAGTTGATTCAGAAATGTGTTTAATTGAAATATCATCAATATTACTTGCATTGGGTAATGAATTATACAATGTCATGATCTTTTATTATGCCAGTATTATACATTTCACACACCTAATAAAATTATTATTTTTAAAAACAAATGTTATAAACCCATTTTAAATTGTAAAGCCTTATAACAAAACAAACCTGAATGTTATTTGTACTTATGTTAGCAGTTTCAATTACTTCATTTATATTTTCTGAAACAGTCCCTTTTTTTTCGAGGATTACTTTTTTTAAACGTATCTATAAATAATAATACATTTTGATGATAAAATAAACTTCTGAACTATTATATTAGTAGTTATATTAATAAATAGATAAGTAAATAAAATAAATAAATATTATATGTAATACAAGTACTTAAATTGTTGGTATATAATAGATATGTATGTTTAATGAAAATTTAAAACATTTAACTATTGGATAAGTACAGGTACCAACCGTATATATAGTTGATCCTCCTCCAACTACATAAAATATCACAAGCTTTAAAATGTGATGAACAAACGAGATACATTTTTTTCAATGAGATACCTAGTGCCTGTTCCCACTGTTTTTTTTTCAATAAATCAGATTTTGGTACACCCAATTGACTTTCACCAATTTGATGACTTAATTATTTATAAGAACACATTCATTTTTTTGAGATTTCAAAAACTACAAACTGCACTCAAAACCCAAACACGTGATAAGTATTTATAACAGATAACAGTCAACTGAACTACAGCAGTACATCCCACTCTATGTATGGAGTTCAGAGGTACAGCCTATAAGTTATAAATACTAAAAATTATTTCTACAAGTTAGTAGTTGTTTGTCACCGCCACGAGAGCGTTAGTTGGACGCGAGAAAATGATAATATGATGAACCTTTTTGGATGTGATTTTTATACTGCACGATGTATAGAACTAGAGATCTTCTCTACATTGTGGTACACGGTAAACATGGGCCGTTGCGCAATCATTCTATCTACAACCGAGATCAATCGATTTGCTACAACTCTAATGTTTCATAAGTACTGAGTACATTTTTGTGTTAAATTAAAATTGTCAGTCTAGTCGGGACTTTAGTATGTACTGATTTTTATTAAAGGTCCCACTTTTGTAGTGGCTTCATTAGTTTAATGAAGTACTTTATATTAATACAAAGAGCATGAAAACAGCCAATAAAATATTAATATATTATCACATTATCTGCATTTATAACAAAACTGTAAGTGTATTTATTAGTAATCTTTTTTTAATTTTTAACAATTACCTATTTTAATAACATTTTGATAGATAAGACTTTCTTAATAAACTTATGTATTTATTTTAAGATCTATTTTATTTGAAATTTTCTGGTTTTCTTCTATGCTTAGCCAAGTTTTACGATTGTAAGTGTATTATTTAAGTGGCCACTGGGACTTAAATTCATTCATTATTACTATTAACCCTCTCATAAATGGGGAGAGGGGCGTCATTAAATTGTACAGGAAAAAAGTGGTTCCTCCAAAAGTTTGTAACAAACGCTAACATGTGTTTGTTCCAAAGCCATTTTCTCCTTGAAGACTAATAGGCAGTTGAGTTACTATACATTAGTTATTGGGGCTATGATATTAAACTTTTCTACTAATTGACCAAATTATATATAAACTAAGTAAGTACTTAAATTAATAACCATGTGTTTTTTTTATTGTTATAAAAGAGTTTTACCCTTATAATTAAATATTTATATTAAGAATTGTCCATACAATTTTAAGACTTAGTTTTAGAAAATAATTTAAAATATATTATATGGAAATTCAGTTGAAGATATGAAGTTATAATTTTTCACATACAGTTTGATTAATTATTACAAACAAATTAATCATTTACAATTATAAAACTATTGTTATAATAATATACCTACTAGTTTTACTATTCAGAAGGGTTCTACAACATTTTTTTTAATATCGATATCAACAATTCCGTTTTAAAAACAAGAAATAATTAAAGTAGTATTATTGAAATCGAAACAGCCATGTTATCAGTATATTTAACACATAGAGTAATGACTAACTATGATTATACAACAAACAATTAATAAACTATTAAAATGATATTGATATATCTTATCTAATAAATACTATATATAGGATAAAATTTAGAAAACAGTTTAATATTGACATTGTTGCAGTCCCCTATTATTATTCAGTATTCATAGTAGTAAATTTTTGTAGATTTATTTGAATGAACAGTAACTTCAAGTTTTACAAAATTCAGTTTAGACAAAAAGGAATTGTTATTATATTGTTTAAAACTTTATTACAATAATATAATATTACTATTTAAAAAATAAAATAATCATGAGATCAACTATTTTATACAATGAATACATGTCAGCCTTTAATAGCTGAAAAAAATGTTTTCAATAATACAATAATTTGCTACTTAACACCAGTTAATTATTTTTTTTTTTACATCAATAAATTTAATAAATATAAAAACACGTTTATGTAATTTTTTTTAAAAAAAATATGGGATAATATAACTTACATCTAGATAAATAATTTAAAAATAATATACATTTGAATTCAAACTAAATATTAAAAGCTATAACTTAATAAATAAAGTTTGATGGAGTCCATGATATTTAATATTTATTATTATAACATACATAAAATTAAATATTTAAATATGTAAAACTATTGAACACATTTTTAATACAACAATTTACATGTTGTCCATAAAAAAACACAGCTAAAATCAGTACTAATAGGTGACGAGATTTTTCGTCGTAGTTTATGGCAGTGATTAGTTGGCTTACTAAAATGTGGCTTAAAATAAATTACTATTAAATTGAACTAAAAACATTTTTGACTAAAGTTGGGAAAAAAAAAATACACAAAATAATAATAGTTTTAATTAGTTCAAAAAGCAAAATTAATGACCAAAATTTATTTATAACAAAAAAAAAAATTAAATAAAGGAACCCAAACATTGACCAGATGAAAATTATATTAATCAATTATTGAAAAATAAAAATATATATAGGTATTTATAAAGGGGAAATGGAACTTACATTTTACTTAATAAATAATTTTGAATTTTTATTTAGATATTAATTAAATTTAAGAAGAAAAATTACCAAAAAATATATAATATTATATTATAACATTGTACATAATATTTAAATAAGTGTAAATCAATTGTATTTGGTCATCAAATGGATTAAGATTTGCTTATAAATTATTACTGTTTAAAAAGTTAGTCTAAAAAAATAAATATATAAATAAAATACAATTATACTTCTGGACATAATTATAATTATAAATAACCTTTAAAAACATCATTATTTTTGTACTACTGTTAAAGCAATAATAATAAAGATAATAAAATACAAACCAGTATATTGTTTCTTTCATGCCAACGAGTATTATCAATAAAAATAAAATGTTTAATTTTGTCCCCAATGAATTTGTACTTTTGAAAAATAAATTTAGAAAGACAAAAAAAAATATTTAAAAGAATAATTTGATTTTCAATACAAAAATATTATGTCAATAGGCGTTTCGGTAAAAAACATTGAGATCTGAAAAATTCTAGAGAAAATGTGTAAATTTTATAATCGAAATTGAATTTACATATATACAATAATTCTCTACTTATTTTTATAGTTACTGTGCATTTACTTAAAATGGCATTAACAGTCCTTTAAATTTTGTACAATTTATCTGAACACAGGTGTGCAATAATGAGCTGCCATAAACTATAATACACATTTACCATACTAGACACATGAATATTTGTCTACATTGAACCCCTAAGTACTCTAAAACCGTTTATTATAATTATTTAAGTATTTTACTCAATTTTTGGGTATAGACATTTTAAAATCTACAAATTAAAAAATGTATGTAGATTAAAATAATAGTTTAAATAAATATCAAAATAAATGATAAAAAAAATTGGGTATAGAGAAATTTAGTTTGTAAATCCAATGTTTAAGAATTTTTTATACCCGTTTTTTAATTGATATCAAAACTATAAACAAATCATAAAACCATATTAGTTACATTTTATACATGCACTTATGTTATCGATATAATTAAAATGTCTGAAAATTGTTTCTATAACTTATTATGGATATTATTTATAAATAAAATAAGTTTCATTTTAAATACAATAAACGGTTCAAGAAGTCATAACAAATAAATTACATATATGGAGATTTTTAAACATAGTTGAATGTTCAATAACGATACTAAACCATATGATATATATGCATAGATACAGAACAATAAAGCATATGGTTAATCACACACCTCCTATGTAACATTATTTTTAAGTTAAACTGTATAAAAAATATTACCTAATATAAAATACTTGAAGCATTTAAGTTCAGTAAGTACTTGAATGTATAAATAAATATACATTATTTGATTGTAGTACATTTACGTTAATTGTACTACAGTATTATTACTAGGTGGCAGTACTGGTGTAGTAGGACAATGTAATACAAACCGGTCATAAATTTCTATTAATTCAGACATTAAATACTCTTCAAGACACACAAAACCTTCCAAATTTGGAGATTGTTTTTTTGCACAAATAACACAATACACACAGTGTTTTTTTTCTTGTTCACGGATTAAAAGAATATTGAATACTTCAACCTAAAAATTAAATAATAAATATATAAGACAATGCACAAAAAAACAATATCCCCACTATATTGAACTTTTAAAAAAATGTATGTACATTGTTATTAAGAGAATAGCAGTAAATAAGTAAAATAGGTTACTTACATCACAATCATGACAATAATGTGAAGCTTCATTCTTGCCCCTTCCATGAAAACGTGTTTGTATTTTTTTAATTTTAATAAATTCTAATGTAATACCACATTGACGCAATGAACACATCAAACACATTCTAGAAAATGATGAAGTGAAACGTTAAAAAAAAAAAAAAAATTAAATCACTAGTTAACTTACTTCACAAGTTCATAGAGTCTAGGGTCTGATACTTTAATATTTCGTGCTAAATTCCAACTTAAATGTATCATTGGTACAATGCTTTTGTAACTCTGTAGTTTATTCCACTCATAGCGTTCTATGGCAAGATGATATTGCCTAGCCGTCAAAGGACCAACATTCCATGCAATATTATTACACCACCCAACAGCTTGAACCCAATGAACACAACCTGTTGAAGTTATGTTACTTTAGATTAATTAAAATGCATGAGTATAGATAAATCTTTACATGCAAATTTAAAATAATAAAAACAATTAACACACAACCCCAATCATATCTCAAAAAATCATAAACAGACTACTAAATAAATTTAAAAAAAAGGAAAGCAATGGCCAGACCAAGGAACTGATGTTTCAGATATTACAAACAAAAATACAATCTCAGATTTTATTAACTAATAATATAAATATAGATGAAATAATACAAGCATATTATATTTGTAAATATGAATTATGCAGTTTTCATTTTTATACATAATTATTTTCATTTATTTTACCTGAATTAACCCATACCATGTCACCAGGTCTTTGCAAAAATCTATACAAAGGAATATTTGCTGCAAGTAAATCTTCAATCAATGGCCACCAAGAACCATGCAAATAATTTAATCCATATCTAAAACAAAAAAAATATTTTGTATGTATTCTAGAATTTTAAAGTTTGAATCTATTATATAGAATATATTTATTAAACTTACTTTTCACAAAGATTATTAATGACACCCCAGTATGCATCAGGTACAGCAAACCATTCACAATCACCAGGTCCAATATTAATATTAATTGAGCAGAAATTGTTGTTCTCTTGATGCCCAGGTGTACGACTACCAGGGACCTTGTTGAAGATAAGTATAGACATAAATACAGACACACAATATAAAATTAATAACCATGTCCTAATTATACTTACTTTCATATACAACTGAACTGTATTCATGCCCAAAATAGAATGACCAACATGGGAAAGCATATTAGCTGCAGATACAACACGTGCAAATGCTGGCAGCTTAGTTAATTCTTGGAGTTGGGGTCGCCATTTTTTTTCATCAGACAGATCTACATTGGTACCAAACTTCAGCATTTTACTTCCAGCAGGAGGTTTCACCCCAGGTAAATTCTGTACAAAAAATTTATCAACTCCAATTATATAGGAAATAATAAATATTACATACTATATTTTTTTTTCGTTT